GGTCTCCAAGGGTTCTCGGAGTTCTCCAGGTTCTCCGGGTTCTTCGGGTTCTCCGGGTTCTCCGGGGTCTCCGGTCCATCGTTCCCGATGGCTCCGAGGAGGTTCTCACGGTTCTCACGGGTTCTCCTGGCCGGGTTTCTCTCGGGTTCTCGCGGAGTTCTCCGGTGTTCTCCGAGAGGGCTCCGAGGTCCTCTCGACGTCCGAGCGGCGGAAGGGATCGGGTATGTTGTGACAACTCCGACCCGCTCCGGCTCCGGCTCCGCTCCGGGTCGCGGTCGGGTCCGGTCACGGGTCGCGCCGGGTTCTCCGGGTCCCGCTTTCTCACGCTCCCGCGGACGTCCTCCCTCGGAATGCTCCGTCTCCGGAGGGTCGCCCGGCAGTCTCACGGCTGGGGGGAGGGTCTCCGGGTTCTCCGTCCGGTGGGGGCCGCGGGTACCGCTCCGGCCGGGCTATGGCCGGTCACTCCGACGTTCTCCGAGGTCGCCCCTGGAGGGTTCTCCGGATTCTCCGGGTTCTCCGGGTTCTCCGGAGGGTCTCCGGAGGGTCTCCGAGGGGTTCTCCGGGTTCTCCGGCCGGGTTCTCCGGGTTCTCCGGGTTCTCCGGGTTCTCCGGGTGCTCCGGGGTTCTCCGGGGTTCTCCGGATTCTCCGGGGGTTCTCCGGGTTCTCCGGGAGTTCTCCGGGTTCTCCAGGTTCTCCGGGGGTTCTCCGGGTTCTCCGGGGTCTCCAAGGGTTCTCGGGGTTCTCCAGGTTCTCCGGGTTCTCCGGGTTCTCCGGATTCTCCCGGTTCTCCGGGTTCTCCGGGTTCCCCGGAGATCCTCCGAGGGGTTCTCCGGGTTCTCCGGGTTCTCCGGGTTCTCCGGCCGGGTTCTCCGGGTTCTCCGGGTTCCCAGAGCATCAACAACCATAAGATCTTACGGGGGCCGTAAGATATACGGGCATTCAAGAATTCATAAGGGATGTGCCTTTAAAATTCCCCGTGCCATTCTTAAACGTTGTTTTCAGTTGCTCTCGTCGCCGCGACTGGTCTTTCTCAGAAAACTAGGTAGTACCCCCGTTTGAATCCACCCGCTTCTCTTGCTGAGATCCCAAGGATGGTGATGAGTGATGCTGATGATGATGATGATGATGATGATGATGATGATGACGATGATAATGATCTACCTCAGTTCCAGGTGTCCACATCGAGATCCAACAATATCTCGTCAAACACACAGTGCGCCCATTTACACAACATAGACTCAGCGATTGTATTCGGATGAACAGTATGAGAAATCCCACCAGCCCTCTGGGCGTAGGTGGTTTAGGGAATTGCATCTTCCATCTTCCCTTCTTCCCCTTCGGGGAGGGGTTTACCCCTCCCCCTCACCCTCTCCCCTGGACCTGGACGGGAGGTTTCGCTTGTAGTTCGAGCGTCCAAAACGGCCTCGGCGAGGAAGCCAACATCATCGGTTTTACTAGGGTGTTGGCCGATTTTAGAGGCTCCCGACGGGGGAGGCTAATTGAGGGACCCCCTTCCTTTGATCGATCACATCCAAGATGGCCCCAAGAGCGCTCCCAAGGTTCCCAAGAGCGCCCCAAGAGGACTTCAAGAGGCGCCCAGGAGGCCCCAAGAGTCCCAAGAGGCCCGAAGAGGCTAGGCTCCCTAGACCCCAAAGAGGCCTCAAAGGTATTCCCCGAGCAATCCAAGAAAACCCGCCGGGGAGGAAGAGCGCTCCAAGAGGACCCCAACAACAACCTTCCAAAGGAACATCATAGGAGTCTTCTTGTGCACGTTCATTGTTCTTGCCCTTGCCACATTTCTCTTCTCCTCCTCCTCCTCCATCCTTGTCGGCCAACGACTCCTCTTCCTTCTCTGCTTTCAACCTTTCCTCATTTCTCACACCTCACCTGCTCGTCTCTCCCTCACCCCTCCCTCACAAAATACCTCCTCCTCCCCTCCTCCTCTCGCATCCCTCCTCCTTACGAGCCATCCATCCGCCTATTCCCTACGCTCCTCTGTCCTCCTCCCACTTTTCCCACCTGCTGACCCTCCTCCCCCTCCTCCTCCTCCTCCTCCTCCTCCTCCTCCTCCTCCTCCTCCTCCTCCTCCTCCTCCTCCTCACCCTCCTCCGACTCCTCCTCCATCCTCGCCCTCTTGGGTAGGACGGGTCCCCCAGCCTTTTGCTACTCTGTATGTTCTCTCACTCCCCATATCACCGCAATTCGCCTGGGCATCGTTTTTGGATGGGCTGGTGGGGATACGCGAAGCGTCAAGAATTCTTATCAAGCGCCCAACCAGATCTTCATCCGCGTATGTCCACCAGTAGGCTGGATTCCCGAATTGCATCGACTGCATCACAAGGTGCTCGAAAAGGTGTAGCTTGGGCGCTAATTTCCAGATCTTGAGATGTCGTGAGAAACTCCAGTTCGAAAGCTTACAATAAATCGACGTAAACTGTGCACTCAACGTATCCAGCTCCTCGTGTATAGCGTCACTCATGTACAAGCTTTCTATTTTCACTATCTCATAAAAACGGTCGAGCAACTGGCACGCAGCGAAAGCCAACCGATCGTGCAGGCCCCATTGTGCGTCATTAAAATTGGCAAACTGGGACAGCACGTGCAATGCGAATGACGTGAGATGCCTGGTAGCGGCGCCATGTGCTTTCAACTTCGCCCAACCTTTATCGGTGCGAAGCCTGGCCAGGGTCAAGACACCTTTGATGCGAGAGTGGCTTCCTGTCTGCTGGTACCATTGCTGCAAATATGACGACAATCGGGAAGCGCCCTCGTCGCACGTGGCTCCGCCGAAACTCTTCCGCAAACATGCGAATGCAAAAAGGACGCTGCCGATGACATGAGCTGTCATGCCCAAGTCCAGTGTATGCAGGATGTCGACCATCACATTCTCCAGCCTGAGGCCGATGACCCCATGTCTTGGCTGAAAGAAAGCAGGCACGGGAAGGCCTTGCGAGGCCAGATGGGCCAAGAATGCTTCGTGGGACCAAACGGTTTCTCTCCACCCTGCTTCTGGGCCCACGTCATACCATGCTCTTTCGCGATGGACGTTCGACGCCCTGCAGAATGGACACATGACATCGGCAGCATTCCATTGGGCAAAGTAGAACGCCTGGCAAAAGAATTGCCAGTCGCCCCGAACTTGGACGACCTGGCCTTTCCAGCCACCTGCGAGGGGGAGGCCGCCACCCGGTAGTTCGTTATTCTGCCAGTCAAGCATCGGCGTTTCACCCGTCAGCAGAATATTGACGCTCCAAGAGAAAGCTTTCATCAGCAGGTCCAGCGTCTCGGGTACCATGTCCGACTTTCTAATCCCTGTGAAGAGGAAACGTGATTGCACCGACGATGTCTTACTCGTAGCGAGGCTATTCCACGACAGTCCAAATAAAGAATCGTGTTTGTTGAACCCCCCGCCATCGGCGTGAAAACCAAGCGGGATCGTTGTTGGCCAGATTTCACGAGGGAGATTCGGGTGCCGCCGCACGAACGCCGAATCGGATATCCCTTCCCAGAAATGGTTGCATGAGCCGTCTGCCCCGCAAAGGCGTTGCGTGAAAAGGTCGGCCCGCTCATCAAACATGCGCTTCGCAAAAACGTGGGGCCAGAGCACAGGATGAGGCGTAGCACGTCCTCTCTTGGTTGGCAACTTAATCCATTCAATTGGCGCGCAACCTTGCGGCCAGCCGAAAATCCTCTTGAGGTCGCGGAATAAATTCCCAGGGCTGTCAAGACAGCGGAGAGCGGCAACTCGACCCTCTACTCTGTCCTCTGAGAACGCCTCCGAGGGAGAGAACCTTCCACTAGTATTTCCCTAGAGAGATAAACTTAATCTTGTTTTTTTTTGAACCACGGAAGTGTCATCAAATTCATCGTTCATCATCTTAGGAAAAGAACAGCACGGCACCAATGTCGGAATATACAATCGCGCCAGTAGTATGTGCATTGAGACATAGAATCAACCGACGCGCATACGCACTCACGCCAGGCAAGCGAACACGCGCTACATAACATGATAACTGCGCTTGCTGCTGCCGTTGGTATGTTTTTTCCTGGCTGGCTGCGCGAGGGGGGGTCGATTTCAAGATGTTTCACGGCGATCGTGTCTGAGAACACATTCAATGCACAGCTGTCTCTAGAAATGTTGTCGGGTGCGCTGTTTGCGATATAACAACGGGGGGGGGCAACGGGTGATTTGGCGCACTCCCTATTCGGACCTCCACGGTAGCATGATTGAGCGACCGAGTGAGTCGATCGAACGAGCCCGAAAAAACAGAGGACGACGACGACGACGACGACGACGACGGCGACGACGACGACGACGACGACGACGACGCACACATCACCCAAGCCAGGAGTCAAGGGGAGGGCCGAAGGGGGGAGGAGGAGGAGCGAGGAGGAACGTAGAGGAGGCAGATTTGTTGTTTGTGCTTTTTGCTATCAAGCGCCTGCCACGAGCGCGGAGCCGTCTAGAGCCACCGCAACAACTTCGATCCACCAACTCGCGACTGCGACCAAGCAAACGTCCACTAAACTTCTTCGCGAATGGAGTGCCAATGTGCGCCACGTCATCGTCCCCATCATGATCCTGATCTTCCTCACCCCTGCCCCCTCATCGTAGTCTCCCCCCTCCCCGTTCCAGCCCTCCTCCTCATCGTTATCATTATCCTCGCCCTCGTCCTCCTCATCATCCTCGCCCCCGTCCTCGTCACCACCCTCCTCCTCATCGTCGTTCCCATCCGCTACCTCCTCCTCCTCCTCCTCGTGATCTCGCCCCTGGGGCGCGCGGGCACCGCGGCGCGGCAGGGCCGCGCTCGCACTTCTTGAAACAAGGCCAGCCGCTTGGAGCCATCCAACATTGCGCCCGCTCTGGGCGGGCAACACTGTCAACCCTGAGCACTGCATGCGGCCTCCAGGCCAAAGTCAAAACCGAGGGATCAGATCGCGCAACCCCTCACTCAACCTGTCACCACCGTCTTGCCGAACGCCGCCCAAACTCTGATACTCACTCTGCCGCCGCGACCGTCTTGTCGAACGCCGTCCAAACAGCCGCGCGGTCCTTCCACACCTGCGCCGTCTCCGTTTTGTAGTGGTTCTCGAGCTCCATCTTGATGGCCTTGTAGGTGTCCGCCTCGAGCTCCGCCGCGAGGCTCTTAGACAGGACACTGAGGCTCACGAAGTGGCCCCACCTCGCCGCATCCTTGTCATTGGCGGCCGAACCTGCGTAGAACACCGCAGCGAACACGAACCCGTATGGGATCCAAGCCACGCAGCCCGCAGGCATGGAGAAGATCGAGCAAGACTTCGAAGCCAGGAACTCGCAGCCAGCATCGGACTTGAGAAACCTGATCCGATACTCAAGGTGTCCCCTCTTCCTCCTCCTCCGCAACTCTCATCCCTCATCCCTTCCTCAGCCCTCCTCCTCCGTTCATTATCGTCGTCGTCGTCGTCGCGTCGTCGTCGTCGTCGTCGTCGTCGTCGTCGTCGTCGTCGTCTTCATCATCCGCCTCCACGTCTATATATATATATATATATATATACGCAGATTTGGCCCCAAGTCAACCCTGGCATGTTGGAGATGATGATCCCGTTGTCCAGCAAGTGCTTGACGTTGTAGACCATGAAGATGATCGGCTCGCCCAGCGTCATCACGTAGCCGCCGACACCTGTCATGCTGAACGCCGCGGGCCCTCTGCGACAGGCGTCGCGGCGCAGCGTGACGAGGTTGGGCGTGTTGCCATCATGAAAGAGGGCGCCAGCGCTCGGAGGAAGGCTGTGGTCAATCTCGCTCACGTCGACGTTCAGGCGCGTGAGCGCGCCCGTCCACCTCGTCGTTGCCATCTGGGTGTCAAGAGACTTGGTCTTGTCCTGTAGGACCTCCTCGCATTTGTCTAAGATCGCCTTGCGCATCACCATGTGCTGCCTGTCGGACTGCGACCAGACGCAGACCTCGTTAGTAATCATCTCCGCAGGGTTCACGTTGACCATATCGTTGAAGAGCTTGCCTACGGTCTCACCCGTGATGCCAGTGGCGCTGTTCTCGTGAATGATGTTGGCCATGGCCTTGGCCGTCTTCGGCGGGTAGCCGCCAGCAGTCAAGGCGGCGCATACCTTCGTTGGACCAGCGAGCTCCTCCCCCTCCTCGTCCTCCCCCCCATCATCACCATCCTCATCCTCCTCCCTGCTCATCCTCCTACCCCTACTCCTACTCCCACTGCTCCCCCATCCACCCTCATCGTCCAAGTCATCCTGTCTCCGCACGAAAGGAGACAGGGATGGGGGAGGGGGGGCTCGCTGGTCCATTCGACCTTACCCTTCTGGTGGCGCACGGCCAGGTACTGCGTGCGCGCGGCCTTCTTGACGCCACACTCGACCAAGCCGAACGTGGTGATCTTCTGGAGGGCCAGTTTCTCGAGCTCCTGGAATTCCTTCTGCAGGACCTGCACCCTCGACTTGACGTCCTCCTGGTCGCCCAGCTTCATGTCCTTCAGCGCCCCCTTGATCTCCAGAAGCTCCTGCTCCCGCTCGCCGAACCTCTTCAGGACATCCGTGCAGTCAGGGGCATCACTGTTCTCCCTGTGCTTGTCCTTCAGCGCCCTCAGCTTGCCTGCAGTAGACTTCGGGCCCGAATACTTCGCCGCCATGGCCACGCAGTCCTGCATGATCTCCTCCTTGGCCACTAGGAAGAGCGCCTCCGCGTTGTCCTTCTCGATATGATGCTTGGGGTCCTTCCTCTGCCTGGCCGCCCTCATCGACGCTGCGTCGTCAGGCTGCTTGCGCTTACTGCCAGACCACGTCGCGCACTCCATGGGCGACCTGCCCCGAGGGGTGCGCTCCACCAGACCCGAGGGAAGATCGCCGAGGCCAACGACTCGACCGTCGCTCAAGGGCGGGTTCGTAGCCCCACTGTTGCCACCAATGTCGCCGTCCTGGCTCAGCGTCACGATGCCTGTCCTGCGGTCGCGGCCAGTCTCCTTCATCTCGTACTTGTGGCCCTTGATGCGCTGGCACGGCTCGCCGTCGGAGTCGTAGTGCGGGGAGGTCTCCTGCAGCATGTCGAACTCCTCGCTGGCGTCATCCGAGGGGACCTTGTCCCAGAAGCCTCGGTAGGACTTGTAGTGCCTCTTGGAGTACATCTGGTTCTTCCTGCCCGTGCGCTCCTTATCGACCTGCATGTCCTCCGTCTGAGTCAGGCGCAGCTTCGCTTGCGTCTCAGCCCGCGCCTTGCCACGAGTCGAGGAGTCGGCCACACCGTTCGACTTGTACGGCATGACATCGCTACGCCACGCATCGGGGTCCCCATGCACCTTACTCGCGGAATCCTTGAGCGCCTTGGCATTGCCTTTCAGCTGCAAGCGGTGGGAGCGAACGGCGTTCCAGCAATCGGCCGAGAGCTGGACGCCTCGCCACTCCTTCGTGATAACCTCCTCCTGCTCACACAAGTAGCACGTCGCCATACTGTCCTGCAAGACGTTGCCGCCGTCTCCAGCGAGATCCCCGTCACGCGACCCAGCACTACGGGCCGAACTAGGCACAGACGCCATCGTTGAATTGACCAGACAAGCGATGCAATAATCAACTTGCAGTGAGTGACTGCTGAAGCTAACAACCTTGAGCCCAAATGGCAACTGACGAGACGACGTCGTGGCGAAATCATGTACGTAGCACCCCGCAATTGCGGATAAGAGTGAGGGGGCGGGCGGGCAGGCGTGGCGACAGCGACCGCCCACGCCGCGACCGCGCCGCGACCGCGCCACGACCCGCCCGCGCCGCGAATCGCTCGCGACCCACCCGCGCCGCGACCCACCCGCGAGACGACCCCACCA